TTTTTGACTCACTGGTGTTAGAAAAGCATTTTAAAGGATTATTTTAAAGAACAATAACCTATTAAATTTTGCAGTTTGGCTAGAAAGCTTAAATTCTGTGTGCATTGTGCAATTTTATAATTATGATGTCTAATTTAAATCTACATTAAAAAGCCATAAAGTGATCACAATGTTAAGACTGTAAGTACACTACCAAACAAATGAAAATATATAGTGATGAGATTTAATAAACAAAAAAGAAATAAAAATAGTAGATGTTCACAGCCTTTCAAAATAAATCAGAAGTGTCATACTCATTTGCTCTGGTGTCAGTAGCTTTTCATATTATTAAACTTACTCCAGGGGCCAAAAATGTCAAGAGTTTATTTATTCCCAAGTAGCAGTGAACTAGTTGAAGCGATCAGTTTATCAGGCGTGAGATGACTTAGCATGACCTCGAGTATTGGCTGGCTGCTGATCATTGCATCTCTATGAGCTGTAAAGAAAACTCAGAAAATACAATTTCACTAAAACATTTACTTCAGAGACTTTGGCAAGTGCATTGAACAACACATGCAGTTCACGATCTATATCACGGCAGGTACAGTCAATAAGGAGTACATGTGTATGGCTAGAGGAGCAATTGTATTTTTGCAGTTTTGTTGCTGCTTTACAGTATTCCCAAATTATCTCCATAAGTCTCCTTTTTTTCTAAAGCAAACAAAACCACCAGATTTATATAGATCCTTCACAACTAAAGGGATGTTGGCTTTTAATGTATTTTAACAACCTTGGCTTTTTGGGTCACAGTTTGACTTTGTGATTAATAGTGTCCTAAGCCACTTAATACATTATTGATTTTTAATTTGATAAAAAGGATTTCAGTTGGCAAATCACATTATTTAAGAGCACGAGGAGGGCAAGTGAACAGAAGAAAATGTCCTGGCACTGAAGCAAATCCTACAAGAAAGCGAATGAGTGCAACAAAAGTAGATTTAACTATTGCCAGTCAAGCTTACCAACAGTGTTTTGTGCTAGCAATAAGTCCATATAAGTGTGTCTAAACTACTGGCTCATGTACCATAACATATAAATTACATTATGAAATGCAAAACAATACGCAAATGGTTGGAGTAACAGAATTTAATTTCCCCAAAGATTACTTCAGTTTTCTTAGGTTGCAACATCAATCTAACTAATAGATCAAAGATTAAGTTGGCCACATTTAGATTGTGATTTGTCAGATTAAAAAATGTCACCAACTACTCTGTAGTATCAGCATCTACCTAATGAAATGTGATTTGAGTAAATGGCAAAATTGGTAAAGTAGATTCTTATGTTACATGACTATATGTTATGACCAATCAAAAACTGATTTTGTGTGGTCAATCATTTTTAAAGTGGTATTAAAGCTAAAAAAATTTTTTACCTTAATGCAATGTTAAGAAAGTAAATATAAAAAAGTGATGATACATGAATAATGCAAATATAAAAGTACAATGGTCCAATAATATTATAATACTGTAATGACAACATATATTCATTTGTACCTGGCTCTATAAAACCAACAAACAAATATACGTGTATGTAGATGAATGTATATCTGATGATGAGTATAATCTGTGCAAAAGCCAGAGAAAAATACCTTTATAAAGGCTGAACCTGCACTGTACATGGGTTATGGCATGGTGTATCTAAAGCTGGGTGGATCTGTATACAAGTAAAATTAAAAAAAAAAAAAAAAAACAAATTGGCAGCTGGAGTGCATGCTGAGACAGTCATGTCCTCCATAGGCCGGAAGTGACTCACCGGAAATGCATCATGATGATGTTATATCCGTTGTGGTCATGTAAAGACCGCTGGAGCGCACTGAGATGGTCGTGCGCTCCATAGGCTGGAAGTGACTCACCGGAATTGCATCACCACAACACCATATTCGGTGTAGTCAGGTGGAGGACCGTTGGAGCGCATTAATGGATAGTGAAGCACTGGATCATCAAGCAACTGGCCACTAATGAAAGCAATGAGACAACTAGAACTGAAAATGAAAATTAATGAAATGAATGAAAAGAACATGAAAAAAAATGAAATGTATAGAATAAAAATGTTGGAAACATTATTATGGAAAAAGATGATGGAAAGGAAAATTTTTTTTTTTATATATGTGTAAAATGAAATATGCAAATAATGTTAAAAAATGTAAAATATATATATATATATATATATATATATATATGAAATGACAATAAAAAATGGAACAAACTAAAGGCCAGGTGAATACATGACAATGTCTAAATGAATGGATAATGAATGAAAATCTAAGTATATAGATGGGTAATAAGGGCTTAATACGAATAATGTGGTCTGATGACACACCTGTGAAATGGTGTTTGAAATCACAATAGGCAATCCAATGAATACACAAAATGTGGTATCACTACACAAATGAATGTATGTTAAATAACTGATTTTTTTTTTTTTTTTACAGTATAAAAGATTTTTTTATATGTATATAACCATTTTCAAGAAACATGACAAAAGTCCAGCAGTCTCAGAGTTTTGGGCTAGAGAGTATTCCCAGTGATATTGACACTGGGAGACGTTTTCGTAAATTGTGTCAGAGTGAGACTTTTTTGATTCATCGCCTGGGCACTGTCATCTAGCGGGCTCAATGAAGGGCTAGATACTAATGCTCTGATCCACTGATGAAATATCGGTCCCTCAACTTCATATATTTGTGGCTTTCATTCAACATGCATTATATATTCATTCCAAATTTAACACGCAAATGTGCTGGCCTTGTGCCGTTTGTTTCCTTGGGGATTTTTACAATAAAGCATCCCTGCCCATATGCCAGAAGCACAGGGAAGTGACAATGTCATTCCTTAAGGCTAAAGGAAACTTACAGAGTCACAAAACAATTGTAACTGCTTAAATTAAATAAGACTTGTTTATGCAGTATAAGACTTGTTTGTGACTTGTTTGTGCAGTTAGAAATGTTTTAAGTTAGATTAGATAAGACTTTTTTGTGCAGGTAGGTGACTGGGTGTGACTCTGTTTACCTCACAGAAACTTTCAATGTTTTTCAGCAATAACTTCTTGGAGCAGGAAGAAGGTGCCGCCCGCCCTTGGAATGTGGGCCAGAGGCACTGAACCAGGATGTTTAAGAGGGGCCTGGAGGCAATGAGATCAAAGGCCATCCCGTGCATGTGGGGGATGCTCCGACGCAGGGACTGTTGCAGAAGCTGCATGACCTCATCGATCGATCATGTTCTAGGCTTCTCTATGATCTTCTGTGCACAGTGGTTTTAATGAGGACTCTTTCTTCCCTTCTTCCGTAGATTTGGTAATGTATTAATTCTATGCTGTGACACTGTCAAAAGATGTGTTTTGTTTCATGCTGTAATAATCACATTACTATTTGTATGTGTTATTATGCGGATTGTGATGACTATAAGATATATATCCTCCTGTGTGTGTTGTGTGATTGTCAGGGCTCCCAGGTGTGACCAGAGGTGTGTGACTGACGCAGGGAAACGCAGACTTCAGATATGTGATAAACAATATAATTTATTAACACTAACAATACAAACATAAACGCAGTGCAATACTAAACATAATACAGTGCAAACAAACCAAACCAAACCACCCACAGATAACAGTACATACAAGCAAGCGTCGTCAGGCAGGCCGGTGTCAATATCAATTGGGCAGGTAGGTACAGGGGGAGCAAGCGGAGATTGGTCGGGGTCACAGGCCAGGTTCAGCAGGTAGCTAGCAGCAGCGTAGTACAGAGGGTCAGGCAGAGGGATGGTCAGGGTCACAAGCCAGGGATCAGAAACAGGTAGCAGGCAGCGTAGTACAGAGGGTCAGGCAGAGGGATGGTCAGACAAGCCAGGGATCAGAACAGAGAGCTAGAGAGAACAGGATACAGGGCCCAAGAGAAACACAACACCAAGGCAGAGTCTGCAAGTCTGGCCATCCCTTAAATACCCCAGTCATAATCAGTTCCAGGTGTTAGCTGGCTGCAAAGTTGAGTCTCTGAATGCTGGTGAGCATCCGCTGGCCAGCCCTGGTACTGCAGATCAAAAGGCAGGTGAGTCCCACCATTGCTGGCTAGTCCATTCCTGGGACAGTACCCCCCCCCTCAAGGAGCGGCCACAGGACGCTCCAAACAGAGTCCTAGCTGGGCAAAATGTTCCAACCGCCCGGGTCTGGTAACTGGCGGGATATCAAAGACTGGCACACGCACGGGCAGGACTCCGGGCAGCGGCACACCGGGCAGGGGCACACCGGGCAGAGGCACTTTGGGCAGAGGCACATCGGGCAGGACTCCGGGCAGAGGCACATCGGGCTGGACTCCGGGCAGAGGCACATCGGGCTGGACTCCGGGCAGAGGCACATCGGGCAGGACTCCGGGCAGAGGCACACCGGCAGGACTCCGGTCAGAGGCACATCGGATTACCAGGCGGTAGCAGCAGGCACCGGGCCCCCGGGCGGGGCAGCAGGCACGCGGGCCCCGGGCGGGGCGGACAGGCCACCGGGCCCCCGGGGCGGGCGACAGGCACCGGGCCCCCAGGCGGGGCGACAGGCACCGGGCCCCAGGCGGGGCGACAGGCATCGGGCCCCCAGGCGGGGGCGACAGGCATCGGGCCCCCATGCAGGGCAAACAGGCATCGGGCCCCCAGGGCAGGGGCGGACAGGTCTCGGGCCCTGCACAGGGCAGGGCGAGAGCGGCGGGCGCCGGACCCCCAGATGGAGTGACAGGTCTCGGGCCTCCCCCCAGGCGGAGCGACAGGTCTCGGGCCCTCAGGCGGAGCGGCGGGCGCCGGACCCCCAGATGGAGCGGACAGGTCCCTCGGGCCCTCAGGCGAGCGGCGGGCGCCGGACCCCCAGGTGGAAGAGCGACAGGTCTCGGGCCCCCAGGTGGAGCGAACAGGTCTCGGGCCCCCAGGTGGAAGCGGCGGGCGCCGGACCCCCAGATGGAGCAGACAGGTTCTCGGGCCTCAAGGCGGAGCGGCGGCGCCGGACCCCCAGGTGGAGAGCGACAGGTCTCGGGCCCCCAGGCGGAGCGACAGGTCTCGGGCCCTCAGGCGGAGCGGCGGGCGCCGGACCCCCAGGTGGAGCGACAGGTCTCGGGCCCCCAGGTGGAGCGAAGCAACAGGTCTCGGGCCCCCAGACGAAGCAGTCGGCGGGCACCGAGTCACCAGGCACGACAGTGGGCACCGAGTCATCTGGCAAGACTGGCGGGCTCCGATCTCTGCAAGACTGCGGGCCACCGAGTCGTCTGGCAAGACTGTTTGCGGGCACCGAGTCGTCTGGCAAGACTGCGGCAACCGAGTCCAACTGGCGGAACAGCGGGCATCGAGTCAACTGGCAAGACTGGCGTGCACCGATCGTCTGGCAAACTGCGGGCCACCGAGTCGTCCTGGCAAGACTAGCGGCACCGAGTCGTCTGCAAGTGGCAAGACTGGGGGGCATCGAAGTCAACTGGCCGGAACCGCGGGGCATCGAAATCAAAATGGGGAGACCCGCGGGCACCAGTCCCGGGCTGGCAAAACTGCGGGAACCGAGGGCGTCTGGAAAAAATGGGGTTTGGGCACCGAGTCGTCTTTTTCAAAACTGCGGGCACCGAGTCGTCTGGCCCAAAACTGCGGGGCATTTAGGTAAAATGGCCCGGGGAAAAGCGGGCACCAGTCGTTTCCCGGGAAGAAGCGGCACCGAGTTGTCTGGGAAAACGGGGGGGGGGGGGGGGGGGTTCGGGACTGTTCAAGAAATCGGGCACCGAGTCGTCCCGGCAAGGGCTGCCCCCCCTTTTGTCTGGCCCCAAAACTGGGGCACCGAGTCAATTGGGGGAACAGCGGGGTTTGAGTCCCAAATTTGCGGAAAAGCAGGGATGAGTCAACTGGGCGGGAAATGCGGCACCGAGGGGGCGTTTTGGCAAGAAATGGTGCACCGAGTCGTTTTGGGGGGAACCCGCGGGATCGGTAAATTTGGAGCGATGCGGGGGCCCGAGTCATCTGGCAAGACTGGGGCACCGGGGTGTCTGGGGAAGACTGCGGGAAACGAGTCCAAAATGGGGGAAAACGGGCCCTCGAGTCAACGGCAAGGGGCTGGGGCACCCCAGTCGGGCCTGGCAAAGACCCGCGGGCACCGAGTCGTTTTGGCCAAACTGCGGGGACCCGAGGGCCCTCTGGCAAGACCCCGCGGGGACCGAATCGTCTGGCCCAAAAACTGGGGGCATCCCAGTTTAAAATGGGGAACAGCGGGCAACCCAGTCTCCCGGGAAGCTGCGGGCCAAACCCAGTCGTCCGGCCCAAAACCTTTTCCCGGGAACCCAGTCGTCTTTCAAGACGCGGAACCCAGTCGTTTGGCAAAACTGGGGGACACCTGAGTCGTTTTTGGCCCGACGGGGGGCACCGGGGTCGTTTTGGCAAAAATCCGGGGCCCCCCCGAGTCAACTGGCGGAACCCGCGGGCAAAGGTCAACTGGGGGCTGCGGGCAAACCCATCGTTTTGGCAAGCGCGGCCCCCGAGTCTCTTGGGGGGAACAGAAGGGATGAGTTTAACCCGGCAAGAAT